TACTATCAATTCTAAAATATAATTTTCTAAGTTCTTATATTTTTTTCAAGAACAAAATTTTTGACTTCAAAAATTATGTATAATTATCTCATATTTTTAAAATTGAAAATTTAATCATTTGAGCAAATTAGTATTTATTCTGACACTTGAACCATTCATTAAGCTAAGAATACAAATTTGATCATCTAAATAGCTACCTAATTCCCTAATTCAAAACTTTAAAGTTCTTGTTTTCTTATATGGCGCTAAGCGGTTGATATGGCGTTGAGCGCAAGCTTGACATTGAGGGTTAGTGAATATTTCTGCTCCAGGCTTCTAAGCGCTACATTTTGTAGGTAGACTAACCATGTAAGTGGTACGGTGTTAACTCCTTGTTTACAACTCTGTAGAGTATAACTACCACTACAAGTCCATACCTATGTTGAAACCTTATGTCAAAAGCATGTATATAATTGAGTTAGTGTCAAGCATTGTATAAGTATATAAATATATATATGTGGAGTGTTTGACATGTGTGATTGATAAACTTACACATTTATAATGTTAGATTAAATCTTTTGATACCTTAGCTTATTACTCTTTTTGTCTTTGTTTGTGTGGTTGTTTTTTCTTTTGCAATGATCACTTTAATGGTGTGAGCAAAGAAAAATGTTTCTTTTAATTAAGTGCTAGTTGATGGTAATGCAGAAACATAAAATAACATGCTTTGTGTATATTAAATATTTTGAAAAATCTAGTATATGATCTAGTAAATATATTTTGATGTTATAGTTATATTTAAATAATTGTAATAATATGTTATGTTTTCTTAAAATTGTTTTTTATATATTGGATGTGTGATAATTTTTATAATAACTTAATAATATTAAAATAGGATGTTACAAATTTTTTTAATATGAAATATTTTGCTCTCTTGCATATTACAAAAAGTAATATATACAGAAATCATTATTATCGTCTTAAATAATTATTCTCTATAAGGGTGATGATTTAACAAAGTAAGGATCGAATGAAAATGAGAAAGAAAGCAAGATAATACTGTTTTGTTTGATTAAAGATTGAAGAAAGAAAAATAAAGAGAAAGAAAATGAAAAATGTGAATATTCAGATTAAAAGAAATAAAATAAAAATTATGAGAAGTAATGGAAATTTGTTTTTGAATTATATGTAGTAAAGTAAGATTTCTTTTTATGTTAATATTTTTTTTAAAATATTTTAATATAAAAAAAATTAAAAATAATTTTATTTGATATTGATGATTTTATTTATTATTATTTCATATTAATTTTAATCTATTATTATAATAATATAAAAACGAAAAGAGAAGAAATAAAAAACATCCATAATCAATTATAAGTACTCCATAATTAATCACGTTTGTCTAAAATACGCAGGTTATTATCTGATTATTATATTTTTTTTGTTAACAATAAAAAATATATATACAAAAATTATCATTTATTATTATTATTAGCATAAACACAGGAGTTACACATTTTTTAAATATTTATAAATTATTTAAATTTTTAAAATAGTAATTAAAAGAATGGCAACTGCAATTATGATAGTAAGGGTGATAAATGACTAATAATAATAATAATAAATGATAGTAGTTATTATGATAATATTGGTAGTAATAACAATAATGATAATTAATGACATTAAACATGGGGATGATAATATAATAATCATTGCTCTGACAGATATTAAGCTTATAATGATGATAAAATATGAAGAGAATAGTAAAAATGATAAGGCAAGTTTTAATAATTAGAGTGCAGGAACCATAAAATGACTATGATATTGAAGATGATACAGATATATGTGTACATACAATTAACTTTGTCTCAAAAGTACCTAAGGATAAATTAACATAATTATAAACAACAATTAATACATGATTAATGATGTTATGAAATTATTGAATAGTCTAATTATGATTCGCTTTGTCTCTCTTTCCTTCATATGAAAAGCCAAACCAACCACAATTTTTAAAATACAAGAGCTTTCGAATATAATCGTTATTATTGGATAAAAGCTATAATCAGATTAAATAAAAAAGAGAGTAAAAAAAAGACTTGTCATATAGTGTGTGTATATATATATCAGAAAAACTGGTACATTCAAAAGAACGAGGCTAAAAGAACGAAAACAAAAACTGAAGTAAAGCATCTAAACAAGAGAAAACCGAAATGAATTGCAAGAAAAAAAATGCTTTGCCAGAAACAAGATCTACCAATTGCCTATATCAGAATCATACAGTACATACAATATCCATTTGAGGTAGCAATAATAAGTTAAAAATGACTGCATCTAGCAATTAAGGAATCCACAACATCCTATTCTACATCTAAACAAAATACACTGAACAATTACACAAAAACTGACAAAACTCAAAGCAAAACACTGGCATACACATTATGACTCCAATGACATCATAGAAACCGAGTCAGGTTCGTGACCATGAACTCTAAACCGATATATACATGTGTGTGAAGGGCTTCCATGGTTGGATGTAAAATCGAGCCTTACCGTGTGGTTGATGAGACCAAAAGGCACATGAGTTCAACACGTTGCCTTCGGAGCATTGCTCTTCTCTAGGTCATACGTAAATTCTGATAGATGATACATCTTTTCAAAGTCACTGCGAATCACCATTAACGCCTGAGCCAACCTCAGGACCCACAAGTCTTAGGGGCACTTGATCTGTCATATGCAACGCTCTGTTGGACAGAAAAATTATCATACTGGAAATTTAAAAGTATAAAAAAAAATGGAGTTCAGTGTAACAGGAAATAAATTGAAAACAAAATGTCATTTATTAGTTACAAGTAAAAAGCGAAAACATAAAATGAAAATAAGAAATAAAGTTACAGGTAAAACATCACTTAACTTTCTCAACTTTATTAGTGTTATTGTATTCACTTTTGGTCCTATCAATGCACTAAGAAATTACAAGGTATCTTATAATAGTCTAATAATCAATCTTAAAATACTAATTTGTGTATTTTAAGATCCATGTATATATTAGGGATAAATAACTTAATGCATGGCACACATCATCCATTGCAAATCATAAACTGAGTTTGCCAAAAGTAGAAAGAAGGGGCCAAGGCATAAACATGAGATATGCATAATATATTTGCAAACATAAATTTCGATATCAAACATTTCATCTATTCTAATACTTAAGTAAATTTAAGGAACAGTCAAAAAAACCGTTATATACCATACCAACAGCTGACATGAACACAAAATGTTTAGATTTAGAACGAAAATTCGTCACCTTTGCTACATGTTCCAAGGTGACAGCCTGGGAATGATGGCCCCCGCAGGCGAGCACTAATCTGAACAAAACCCTTACTATCCTTCAAGGGGGGAAAAACACTGCCTGGCCTGCCAAAGCCGGTTTTTAACATCCTTCCGCATTGGGTGGACACCATTTCTGACCAGACTTTAACCAATTTCACTCCCCATATGAGACACCTCGAATGGCTCACCACCGCACCGCCGCTGGTGCGTAGAAAGCATATCCCTCTCCCAAGGCCATCAGCAGCAGTTTCTCAATCTCCTTCTCATCACTTCTCTTGCAAAATCTCTTATTTCATCCAAACCACCACCCTGAACCCACCCCCCTTCACACTCCTCACGTTCAGCAAATTCAAAGTCTCAACCCAACCTCCGGTGTATCATCAAAACCTCTCCATCCTGATGCCTGACCATCCAAGAGTCAGCAGCCCGTGCTTTCAACCCACTTTGAAAAATCACCCCTTTCTCCTCAATTTTCTCATTCAATTCCCTTCTTAACCCTCTGACCCTCATCTTCAATATTCTTACAATCTTCTTATCCACCACATCAACTTGCACCTGAATCATCTTAGCCGTCTTCTTCAACAGTCCCTCCACATCCGAAATCCTTCCCTCGAATTCCGACAACCCGGCGTACCCTCCGACATCACCATCACCGGACTTCAACGCCAGCCGCCGGATCAACTGAACCAGCCCCGCAAGCACCACCAACAGCACTAAATTCTTCCCAAAAATGCTCACCACCGTCAGCCACCGCGGCTTCTCTGCCTTCACGGCAGACTTCCTCGCCCGCCGCAGTTGAAGCGATGCGGAGTTCCCACCTGACCCGGCGACCTTCTTCACCGGAGCCAAATCCCGAGGGATCCGGTCAAGAACCGCCTCGCCTCGAATGGAGTAGTGGCTAAGGTCGCGCCCGGCGCCCGTGGCACCTTCGCCGGAAGTCGCGACTGCGGGGGAGGCAGCGACGTCGTTGGCGAGGAGCTCGATGTTGGTGGCAGTTTTCCTCTCGGTAGCGAGCACCGGCCTCCGACGCGCCCCCGGGTTAGCCGCGGTGATGGACACCGTGGAAGCCGACATCGGAACCTGCGATACAACTGCGAACAAGCGAAGCACCGAACCCACGACGCAGGGACAGAGCCACTGAACCCGGAAAGCAGTCGGTCCCAGACGCACCGCAGATTTGGGAAAACGCAGCGCCTGAGATCAAATCTCTTCACAGAAACAAACATCAAAGAGGGCAAAGTGAGAAATTAACGGGAAAGTGAAAAGAAAATTCCAAAAGCCAAAGAGGACAAAGGAAAAACCATTACCAATTGAAAGCTGCGATTGACAGACGAAGATTCGAAGAGAGAAATTGGAAGCTGCTATTGACAGAGGGCAAAGAAAGCTATTTTACACAGATGAAGATTTGAAAAGAAACGTTGGGGCAGCGAGCAAAACAAGAGAGAGGAGTGAAAATTTTGAAATTTTGAAAGAATGAGAAAGATGATGTGTGAAAAAATAGGAGAAATGGAATTTAGCCTGGTTCATTGAAAAACCCCAGACACTTAAATCTCCGTGTTTAAACCAAAAACAAATGTAACACATTCAGTAATAATAAATGGGAGATTGTGGACTTTCCTTTCCAAATGATTTTTGTAATAATGATTGTGAATTCATGTATTTTTGGGCTTGAAATCAAACCGATGTATATTCAACTTTCAGATGAGATAAGAATAATTTTTCTTTTTTTATCATAATGTAAATGGTGATTATTCAACATTGAAAAAGTGAGTAACATATTGTACATGCACTTGCACTTACCTGATCATTCTCTCAAGATGTATTGAAAAAATTAGGATTTAAACCTGATAATCAATATTATTTCAATACTTAATTAAGGTTAAAGTATCTAATGAATTTAAATACTTTTAATTGAATTTTATGAAATACTATTTTGTCTTTAGAACAGGTGTGATTCTTATCAATATATTTGTTATATATTCTTGAGCATCCCAGGCAAAGAAGTTGGCATTGTCATGGCTCTTCATTGTTAATGATACTAAGCAGCTTCTGGACTGAGAATTCTTTCCTGAAGAATTTAATAACACTTACTTATATGGGGAATTTAATAACACTTACATATCTCTACTGAGGCCGACTTATTAAACACTTTCACAATTTATTTTATTCTCCGGTTTGGTCTTATTTTTTGTTTTCTTGTCTCGTTTTCCTTTTTGGAGGTATCTCCTGATGTCAAAGTCAGCAGGTGAACCGTTCGATAATTCAATTCAATGTAATAGTAATAAATGTACGATAAATGTTCTTTATCTATCTCTCATTTAACTCATATTTATAGTTTTTGACATAAACTCAAGATTTATGATATCTTAATATCGACTTAATCCCCGACTTACCTTAATCTCGTAAGATTGATTTGTTTATTTGTTGCGGACGGGGCCGTCCTTGTCGGTCATACAATTAACAACAAAGAGAATTGTTGGAATAGAAGTAAATTTCCCATCGAGAAAAGTAAGACCTAATTGGAGGAAAATTAGCAAGCATAGCATGGTGGTGCTAGATGGGCTAGGACCGAAAGCCCACCTATCAAGAGTCCAAGGGTAACGTGGCTTAGGTGCAAGACTTTTCTCTTCCTATACCTCCTTTTTTCTTTTTGCACCATCATAAAATTTATAAATCCAAAATTACCCATTAATAAAACAGTAAAAGTTACTTCACCTCTTCTGAAACGTGTAATCCGAAAAGGATTGCACAAACTCTAATGTATTAAAAAGTATTTTCTGAACTCTGTCATTCGAAAAGTATTTCTGGATCTTGAAATAAGTTTCAGCTTACATAATCCAGAAAATCTCCATTATTCCTAGTATGGCTTGACTCTAGACAGTCATGATATTGGTGATACTGAATGATGCATCATTAATCATGTCACACATAAGATTATTAGCATGAATTATTTTATTATCTTCTTGCAGCATTACACGTGTTTCATTTGTCACATTTACTCCTCTTCACTCTTCGTATAAAAGCCACATTATATATATTTTTTAAAAAATTCATACACTATTTCACAACACTACTATTCTTTCGATCTTCTTATATTTCTTACTAAATCATGAATTTAAGAATTTTTATTCTGCTATTTACACATCATCTCATGTAATTAAGTAGTAAAGCTACAAGCATATCGCTCTATATGGTAAATCCAAATTTCATTGTAATTTGTATAGTTTCTTGTCAAATATTAAAAATCGTTTGGCTTATTTATCTATTACCTAATATATTTTAAGAAAATGAAATCTTTGATTTTTCTTTCATAATAATGTAACCTAATAACATCTTTATACGCCGATTTCACCTTGGTTATTTATTTAGATTTTGATTATAATAAATATAGTTTATTTGTGTTTAATAAAATATAATTTTTATTATGAGTTTGTATGATTTTTATTTTTTATTTTTTTATTTTAATAAATTTTTAAATAATAACAAATGATAAATAAACTTTAAACTATTCGTATAACTATTAAAATTCATATAATAAATAGGTAAACTTGGTTGATGAATTCATTGCAGGTAGTTTAATATTGATTATTTTGTTCGGGGAGATGAATCTCTGATATTAAATATTTTAAGTTTCATAAAATATAATTTTTATGGTGAGTTTTGTATAGTCTCTCATAATTTATATTTTGTTTATTTTAATAAAATTTTATATAATAATAAATAATTGAAACCATCATAATTAAATGCGAAGAGAGTCTACAAAGAAACGGATACCAACAACATATATATCTATTAAGTAATAATCATTTTCAACAAAAATGCCTCTCTGGAACAACTTGAGAAAACTATCTTATTTTTTTTTTTCATGAAAAGGAAAGGAAGTTACAAGCATAATCCAGCATTTTCAATGTCTCATTTCATCTCAAAACTCTTGCTCAAAGAGAGATCCTGAAAAAGAAATTGTGAACAAAAATAAGAGAATAATGAAAACTATGAGTATGTATACATTAAGAAAAATTTAAATAAAAAAGAAATCTTACTTGTTACAGTCGACGTCTTTGGTGAGGGGAAAACCGACATCAACCTTACATAGTTTAGGAAGTTGAACGACTCTATCTTTGTTAAGCTTAGGAAATTGAGCGATGGCTGCCTTGAGACATTGACATGCCTCACGAAGTTCAGGTTTTGTAAGTGTTGAAGCTTT